AAGTACAAACATAAATAAAAACAAACATTTAAAAAACTGGTTTAAAAAAGAAATTTAAATTCCCTTAATGTCTTTCTGTAATATATAGAAGCATTAACATTTTAAATCTTAACTGAAATACTTGTTTCTAAGATTGTACCTCTAATTTCCATGCAGTCATCTTTAGTCAAGATGGCGGTTTAAGTATCCTTTTTTAACTTCAGCAAAATGGCTACCAGTCAGCCATGTGACCAGTTTGCCTTGTGGCTGGCTAACAGGAAACAGAACATTTTAAAACAAGTATACATAAATTACTTGAGAAATAAACAGGACTTTTTAAACAGAATTAGCTTAATATGGTTAAAGTTTTAACTTATATTAGCATTTTTAAAATTTACTATTTGTAGACATGAGAAACCATAGCAAACAGTTTACATTTTTCTCTTTTAACAACCTCTTTTTTGACCTTTTATGACTTGCTTTAACTCTCTATAACCTTTTTATATACCTTTAGTTCATTCCTCTGATTTTCTTAGACATTCTTTTTTTCTCATTTCTCAGTCAACATAAAAATTTTTATCAAAATCCCTTTTATAGTTCTTAATATCTTTAAGGCCATTTTTGTTGTTGTTGTTGTTGTTTTAGAAGTCCGGATCAGGCCAGATAAGTTCATACACCCCAGCTCCATGTGCTCAAGGCAGAGAGACCTGGGGAGGGGGTACAGCTGGTAACCCCAGACCCTTGGCCAATGTGGGAGTGGGAAAAAGACCCCCACGACCCCCCTGCATACCATGTGTGTGGAGCACAGAGAAGTCCGGGCAGCCAGGCAGATGACGGCCTTGCAGCCATGTTCCCTCAGAACAGGGAAACTCCCGAAGCAGGCAGGACCGCAGCTGGGGCAGAAACAGCCCCACTTGGCATGCCTCACAGACACGCTGGTGTCCCCAGAAAGGGGCTGGCGTGGTGGATCCTGAATTGAAAACCAACAGCGATAACACAGAATAGACAGGAAAGAACAGATGCCAACCCAATCCGCCTGTGCCGCTTATAAGGCAATGGTGCTGGGAAGACGGGCAGCAGAACCCAGCGGCTACAATCACCGCTAACTGAGGAGGATCCAAGTCCTTGGCCTCCGTTAATACCTCCCGGGTGTCCTCGTGGAAGCAGTCTGTCCTCCGGGCGCATCTGCCGATCACAGTTGAGGGGGCGCCACGTGCTCAGAGCATCAAGAAAAGACCCCTGACCCATGCATGCCATGTGCGTGGGCAGTAGGGACAGAAAGAGATGTTTAACACAGACTAGGGTCCTATTCGGAATTTCAGATGGCTAGCCCCATGGAGATCAACTTGGTTCGAAACCAACTCTCCCCTATAGATTTCGGAAGGCTGCCGCCCGAACCTGCACCCTAAACAATTCTTGTAGGACTACTCACAGATGTTGCCAGAAACCCCAACATAGGACCTCCACATCCACAAAATTAACAGAAATAGTAAAATGACACACAAGCAGGCGGTTAGAGCGTGGGCTGCAACAGATCAGATAACAGATAACAAACCTGTTGCTCAACTGTTCAGTCACCCAGCCCATTCCAATCCTCCAGGCTTAACAGACACCAACAGCAAAACAGGACATCAGACAGGACAAACTGCGTGGCAAAGAAATGGCACCCCAAACCAAAATTATAAACAACCCTTGGACTTTCGTCCAGGGCAGAACCAAGGGTTCCAGAAATACGTCTATTTCTGGGCACGTCTGCTTTCCCTATGGTTCAATTCTAACAGCCCTCGGACTTTCGTCCAGGGCGGGTCTTCAGGGTCTCGAAATATGTCTATTTCCCCCTGAAGTCCAAATTACAAATCACGAGTCCTGCGCAGGCT